TAGATTTCGTTGGAGAGTATCTGAGAATATTTTTTATGCATTCTGTACCTACAAAAGAATTCTAAAGCACTTAGAATTATTGTAATTCGAATATTATCATTTGTATCATATTTGGACTATGGTACAATGTATGGTTGCAACCGTAAACACCATAGATTAGTTTGGAATGTATCTGAGTTTATTTCCTGTTTATTTTGTAACTGTGAAAAAACTCTATAATAATTGGAATCAGTCTAAATTGAAAATGATCACTTGTATCACAATTGGACTATTGTACGGTGTATGGTTGTAACCATAAACACCATAGATTTACATCCAATGAATCTAAAAATATTTGCTGTGCATTCTGTACCTATAAAAATGTTCTAAAGCGCTTGGAAGCACTCTAAAACGAAAATAATTATTTGTATCATACTTTGGTTATTGTACTATGTATGGTTGCAACCATAAACACCATAGATTTCGTTGGAGTGTATCTGAGAATATTTTTTTTGCATTCTGTACCTACAAAAGAATTCTAAAGCACTTCGGATCATTATAATTCGAATATAATTATATGTATCATACTTGGAATATTGTACAGTGTATGGTTGTAACCATAAACACCATAGATTATTTTGGAAAGTATCTGAGATTATTTCCTGTTTATTGTGTTCCTATAAAAAATTCGATAGTACGTAGAATCAGTCTAAATTGCAAGTGATCACTTTTATCACACTTTGACTATTGTACGGTGTATGGTTGTAACCATAAACACCATAGATTTACATCCAATGAATCTAAAAATATTTGCTGTGCATTCTGTACCTATAAAAATGTTCTAAAGCGCTTGGAATCACTCTAAATCAAAAATAATTATTTGTGTATTCCTTTGTCTATTGTACAATGTATGGTTGTAACCATAAACACCATAGATTTCGTTGGAGAGTATCTGAGAATATTTTTTATGCATTCTGTACCTACAAAAGAATTCTAAAGCACTTAGAATTATTGTAATTCGAATATTATCATTTGTATCATATTTGGACTATGGTACAATGTATGGTTGCAACCGTAAACACCATAGATTAGTTTGGAATGTATCTGAGTTTATTTCCTGTTTATTTTGTAACTGTGAAAAAACTCTATAATAATTGGAATCAGTCTAAATTGAAAATGATCACTTGTATCACAATTGGACTATTGTACGGTGTATGGTTGTAACCATAAACACCATAGATTTACATCCAATGAATCTAAAAATATTTGCTGTGCATTCTGTACCTATAAAAATGTTCTAAAGCGCTTGGAAGCACTCTAAAACGAAAATAATTATTTGTATCATACTTTGGTTATTGTACTATGTATGGTTGCAACCATAAACACCATAGATTTCGTTGGAGTGTATCTGAGAATATTTTTTTTGCATTCTGTACCTACAAAAGAATTCTAAAGCACTTCGGATCATTATAATTCGAATATAATTATATGTATCATACTTGGAATATTGTACAGTGTATGGTTGTAACCATAAAAACCATAGAGTCTCTTGGAATGTATCTTAGAATTTTTCCTTTTTATTCTATACCTATATAAATTTCTAAAACGCTTCGAATCATTCTAAATAAAATATAATTACTTTTATCATACTTTGGTTATTCTACAATGTATGGTTGTAACCATAAACGCTATAAATTTACATGGAGTGTATCTAAGAATATTTCCTATGCTTTCTAAACATATTACAAATTTCTAAATTAGTTGCAGAAACTTTGAAATTATGGTAATCACTTTTATCATACTTTGGTTATTATACTATGAATGGTTGTCCGCCATTTTATGTCCGCCATTTTGAATTTTATAATTGTTAATTTGAAATCAGTCTCAGTAACTGAAAATCCTTAGAGCTACATGTTTTATGATATTTAAAATAAATTATGTCTTTAGCCACTATAGTGGCCACCCCGGCCCTCTAGAGGTTAATAAATTTTAGTGCCTGAAGCAAAAACAAAATTTTTTCCCCTAAAAATTTTTCTTTAACTTTATTACTTTTACAATATTATTATTAATTAAAATTTATTTTTATAACAATTTTCAAATTAAAGTAAAACTAAAATCATATCTTTTTAAAACGTTGAAATAACTTTCTAATATGCATTAGGTCGTTTAAACTATTACTTTTTAAAAGTTTTATATTTACAAAAAAATGTTTTACATAAAAATCCGACAAAAGTATCACAAACTATTTCTACTACAATCTGGATGCTAAAAAACTTAGCAAGAGTTTTTTTCAATTTTTGAGCTAAAGGGATGACGTTTTTTTATGGGGGGGGGTTGAGAAGGGTTGGTTTTCGCTTATATTTATTGGGAGTAATATTAATTGCATTTAGCGAAAGGCTTCATTTTAAACAAGTCATCAGAAGAAATATTGAAATTATAAAAATTAGTACTTATGTATGAAGGTTGATATTTGCAAAACAGGGTGCTTTTTAGGGGTGGTTTGGGGTCAAAATTTTCGATTGTAAAATAAAGTATAAATATATATATATATATTTGTAATTTTTGAAGTTTAAGAAATTTACCGCCCAGAGATAGGTTAGTTTTTGCATTAAGGGTTGTTTTTAAGAGTGTTTTTAAAATTCCTTAAGGGTAAAATAATGTACACAATTTATGTGTTATTAAATCTATCAAATATACACTAAAAATTTGTATCCTAATTGCATTTGCTTGAAAGAATCGGTTTTATAAAGTAAATTTTAAGAAATTTGTTTAAATAATCAAAAATTTGTTATTAAAAAAAATCCTGACGTGATGGAGACAAACGGACAACGAATTTGAATTCAGCGACCAAAAATGTTTTAGGATTACATACTCCGGTTCCGTGAGAGTAAAAAAAAATTTTTGTGGTCCTGTGTAATTATTTAAATGTCAACTTCAATAGCAGTGCTAATACCAACAGAACATTTTCGAAAAAAAATTTTTTTCGACGTGTCCTTTTTTTCTACGAAACGAGCGATATATAGTCAAAGACAATACAATAGGGAGCAAAAACGTCTTTCAAAAAGATTTTATCATGCTCCTAGTGTTAGAAAAATCCAAAGTGAACACACTTTCGTTCCGATTGCTGATAAAAGATTATAAGTTAAACGTTAATCAGAACACTATTAAAGTAGAGAGATTTCCAAATACTCAGTTTAACAAATTTTATTAACATATTGTATTCTATCGGCCGTTTTGAACCAGCTATTTTGAATTTTTGAAAACTGACATCGAATTCCTTATCAGTTCATTTAAAATTTTTGTTTTCGTTTGACTTTATGTTCTTATATCTTCCGTTAGAGATATTCAAATCTTAGTAGTACTTACAGTGCCGCTCAGCAGATTTTGCCCACCTTTGAGAATTTTACGCTTGGCGAAAAGTTTTATATTTCGGTTGCTAATAAAGATATAATAATGAGTGAGGACTTTTTTGAAAGCTTATATCTTCTACTTTTATGATATCTAAAACAGACATTAAAAAAAATTTTTTTTTATTGTTTAATTGCTCAAAATAAAAATCCAAAATTTCCGGTTTTTTTTGTAATTTTAAAATCGCTGCAGTTTTTAAACAAGTCATCACATTTTAATCGTTGATAAGCCATTTGAAAGCTAATTTTATCACCTTTAAAATCATTCCTTGTAAACTTTAATACGATAATTTGTAACAAAGATATGGACAATTGTTTAAAAAAACTGCACTTTTTTTCAACTAGTCATAACTCAAGAACGATTGATTTTTGAAAAAAATTGTTCAGAAGAAAAATGTGCCTTTTTATGTATAAAATTAGAAAAAAAATTTTTTTTTACATATTTTGAGTTTTTTTGAAAAACAAAATTTTTTAAATTACTAATAAGTCGAGAACGGTTAGCTTTTGAAAAAATTCTTAATATAAAAAATATTATATTAAGAATTTTTTTCAAAAGCTAACCGTTCTCGACTTATTAGTAATTTAAAAAATTTTGTTTTTCAAAAAAAACTCAAAATATGTAAAAAAAAATTTTTTTTTTTAATTCGAAATATTTTTTTTCTAATTCTATACATAAAAATAGGCATTTTTTATCTTGAAAATTTTTTTCTAAAGCTAACCGTTCTCGACTTATTACTAATTACAAAAAGTGCTGATTTTCAAAAAAATCAAAATATGTCAAAAAAAAAAAAAAATTTTTTTTTATGTCTAAATATTTTTTTTCTAATTTTATACATAAACAGGCACATTTTTCTTCTCAACAATTTTTTTCAAAAATCAATCGTTCTTGAGTTATGACTAGTTGAAAAAAGTGCAGTTTTTTTAAACAATTGTCCATATCTTTGTTACAAATTATCGTATTAAAGTTTACAAGGAATGATTTTAAAGGTGATAAAATTAGCTTTCAAATGGCTTATCAACGATTAAAATGTGATGACTGGTTTAAAAACTGCAGCGATTTTAAAATTACAAAAAAAACCGGAAATTTTGGATTTTTATTTTGAGCAATTAAACAATAAAAAAAAAATTTTTTTAATGTCTGTTTTAGATATCATAAAAGTAGAAGATATAAGCTTTCAAAAAAGTCCTCACTCATTATTATATCTTTATTAGCAACCGAAATATAAAACTTTTCGCCAAGCGTAAAATTCTCAAAGGTGGGCAAAATCTGCTGAGCGGCACTGTACTTACAAGCTATTTGTCGTCTGCTTTTTATTTTAAATAACAATTTGATTGTTGTAATTGTATTTTTCACTTATATACAACGTCTTACTTTGAGCGCCTTATCATTAAAAACGATTCAATAGATTTTTGGAAGCAGCCTAGTCTCGGTTGACGTAGAACATCCTTGCAATTACCTGACGTGATGGAGATATACGGGAAAAAGATTCGGATTCAGCAGCCAAAAATGTTTTAGGATTACATATTCCTGTTCACTGAGTCGAAAAAAAATTGTTGTGGTCCTGTGTTATTAATTTTAATCTTACAAATAATTATTATTAATTTTACTTTCAGTTAAATGCTAATGCAAATCTGGGGTATTCTTTACATCAACTTCAAGGCGATAAACAACATGGAGTTACTCGTTCAGGACATCTTTTAAAAAAAAGTGATGGAAAAATGAGACGAGTTTGGCAGAAAAGAAGGTGTGCCATTCAAGCAGAGGGCTTTTTAGACATCTGTCATGCAGACGAAAATAAACCTCCAACTAGAGTAAATTTATTAACATGCCAGATAAAAGTGGTACCTGATGACAAAAAAGGTTTTGACCTTATAAGCTGTAAGTAAACACTAAAATCTTTCATAATAATTTATTATAAAATTAGATCTGGTATAGATTGATGAGAATAAGACGGGAAGGAATTAGGGTATATGTTTGGATGGATAAAATAAAACGTGTTGAATAAAAAGATACAGGAAGTGTGGTCAAAGTTGGATTGGCGAATAAGTGGAAGATGAAAAGAGAAGAGGTCGAAAAGTTGGAAGAAAACAGAAACGTGAAAGGTACATGGAAACTATGATTTAGGTGAATAAATAAAGAAATAGAGGAAAATGAAGTGTAGGGTGTTCAAAAAGTAAAGAATCTTGCAAATATCTCGAAAAATACGCATTTCCGTGAAAAATGTTTAACACAAAATTTGTTCCCAACAAAAAGATCCACATTTTTGAAACTAAAACATTGGGCCCGGGACCCAACAGTGAAAAAAGAAGTATCACGAAGATGCGTACTTTTCGAGATATTTGCAAGTTTCCATACTTTTTGAATACTCTGTATATATTGTGGAGATAATTGAATGGAGAGTTTAATAGGTTTTTTTCGTTGCCGTATAAAGTGTACACTTTTACACTTTATGCTATGAATCGATTAGTTAGTTTTGATGTTTTTGCAATTTTTAGAACATGGGCTGTATCGTACTATTTTTTGCTAATTGTTTATAATAATTTATTGCAAAAAACTGTGTTTTGTAAATCTTTTTTCTTTTTTATTTCTATAATTACAATGTAGATTAAATTTGTGGACCGTTATCACATGATAATTAAAAATATATAAATTTTTATTAAAGAATTGGATTTTTTAATACAAAAAAATATAGTTTTGTTCACTAAATCTAGTGTAGAATTTTTATTTTTCATCCGATTGTGCTAGAACCTAGAAAATGTGTTTTTTTAGATTCAGCAAAATTTCCCGAAAGAAAAAAATCCAAAATATGTTTTTCTTACTCAAAAAACACCTATTAATCTAAAAAGAATGTTTCGTTCGATTGGCAAAAAAAGTTTTAAATTTGTAAACCTGTGTAATTAACCCAGCGTAATGCAATGGTACGTAAAAGGTAATTACATAATTGAATTATTAAAAAATGTTTATATAAACCCGTTTCCCTTACCGTAAAACGGGGTTATTTCGCTCATTGCGGGTAAATTCGCTCACCCACTTTTATGCTTTATTTCAGCTTTAAAATAAAGTTTAATACCTTTATTACCAGGTAAAAATGTTAAATTTGTTAATAGAAATACTAAATTTTAGTTTAAATCAAATTTAAAGCAAAAAAATGGGTGAGCGACTTTACCCGCACTGAGCGAAATAACCCCGTTTTACGGTACTTTAAGGTACTTATATTTGAGGAATAAAAAGCCGGATGTTAATATGGCCTGGGTGTAGCAAGTATGAATTGAATTTAAGGTACCTTTTTGAAATTGACGGAAGTTTCAAATGAGGAAGGAAAGTCAAATTAAATTAATTAGGCACAAGTAACGTAAAATACACTTTAATGATAGAACGTCCAACAGCCTTCCGGCAAGATGAAAAAGACTCACGTGAGTCCCTCCGAAATCGCTTTATAAAATTAACATGGATTCAGATAATCCAAAAGTAAAATATATCGTTGGAAAGGTAAAAACACAAGCTTTTAGCGCATGTAAACATAAAGTTCATAAATTAAAATCCCTAGGCTAGGGAATTCAAAGAAAAAGGACGTTTTTATAGGGTTTTTTTGACGAATCCAAAAAAATATTTAAACTGAATTTTTTTAAAAATAAACTATCACATTTTATTCTTTGAAGGCTTCAGAAGAAAATGGGAGTAGTTAGACCGAAAAATATTGGTTTTTGTAGATTTTACAGTGAATTTACGAAAAACTGTTTTTTTGGCTTGTTGCAAACATGCAAAGTTTGAAGGCTTCGAAACATGGTTTAATATTATTTTTTTTTTAAAGTCTAACGCATGAATTTTTTCGTTTTTACGTCTACTTTAATAAGAAAGGGTGACAGAAAAAAATTTTGAGTTCCCTTTTTACCACCCTCATATATATAGGGCCATCCAAAAAAGCCTTCCGGCAGGACGGGCGCTTGGACGTTCTATCATTAAGGGGGCAATACACTTGTGACTTTCAAAAAACGATTTTTTTTGCATTTTTTCAAAGTTTATAGTTTCAGGAACATATCTGTAAAATTTTAACTCAATATTTCAAAAACTGAGAGAGACATACAGTCTCAATGGGAGAAGCACGTCAGGTCGTTCGAGGACCGGTTTCCAAAACACCTGGTGCCTATCGGGGTTTTCCCCTGTTGTACTCAGTAGACCAGGAAAAAAAATGATAATTTTGGTAAAAAAGTAAGTTGAAACTTTAAACTCTTTTTTCACGAAACAACATTTTGCAATTGAGTCTTTAATCGAAGGATATTTTTAATGCAAAACTCTATCTTTTACAGCAGAAAAAAACGTATTTTTTAATGAAAATCGACTAGTTGAGTTTGAGTGGCTGCCATTTTGTGAAAAATAAATTTTTTTAATCCTTCGATTAAAGAATAGATTACACAGGCACACAAAAAAAATTTGTTTGTTTCTTGAACTAGACCTACCATTCCTATAGTATTTTGGTCCGCTGAATACGAATATGAAGTCAGAATTGCTCCATCACCCTCTGATTTTTTTTAATTAAAAAAAAACCACCCTTAACCGGACAAATTCAAACTTAGGGGATAAAAAAATTAAATAACAGATTTTTTTAATAAACAGAACCTTACACCTACGTTTTTTGCACCACTAACACAAAAATAAAATCAGAACTGATCCAGCACCCTCAGATTTTTTTTGAAACGAAAAAAACCACCCTTAATCGTACAAATTCAAACTTAGCTATTTCGTTGGAAGAAAAATCGAAAGCAAGTACAAATAAAATTATTTTTTTATCCCCTTAGTTTGAATTTGTCCGGTTGAGGGTGGGTTTTTTCGATTTGAAAAAAATCAGAGGGTGATGGACCAAATCTGACTTCATATTCGTTTTCAGTGGGCCAAAATACTATAGGAATGGTATGTCTAGTTGAAGAAACAGACATCTTTTTTTATTTTGTGTGCCTGTGTTATAATTGATCCTAACATAATTTGTTATTTTTTACCACATGGGGCACAAACTTTTTTCCTGTTCTCATTATGAGAACATTTATTTCGAAAGCGAATATTGAGTAAAAATTGTTATTTCAATGTAAGAGGTGACTTTGCTTAGAAGTACAGTAGGGAGACGCATCAATGACAAACCTACTACTTATAAAGTATCAAGAAACAAAGAGGGGGTCCTTTATGTTTATTTCATAATCATTTTGCTTCCTCGTGGAGGAAGCAATAAATTTCTCCAATTCAATTGACTGATTTAAAACATTTCGAGTTGAACACTGCTTTAAAAATTTTTTTTTTTAATGCGGCATGGCATCATAGATGTTACTTTATATCGTTCACATTTAACTACATTCTTTATTTCTATTTCAAGTTAGTTCCCTGCTAGCTTCGCTAACGATCAGTAATGTTTATCTCAAATAAATCACAATTACTCTTTAAACCTTTTTATTCATTTTCTGGCCATTGCGTATAATCTTCGCTAACAGGTTATGGGCCCAGACTCGCGATAAATATCGTAGTTCAGTATAAAGCTTTTATTTTCTCCGTTGAAACGATAGACTAAAAACGCGAAAGTAAGTGCACAACTTAAAAATGGCAAACTGCATCAAAACGAATTCCTTACGTCTCGAAATGTTGTCTCGCGATAATTATGATACCTGGAGAATACAAGCAGAAGCGCTTTTAATAGAAAACGACGCTTGGACTTACGTATCCGGGGAAACACCGCATCCTGAAATCACTGGAGAAGGTGATGCTCGAACACAATTCGATCCGAAGCCAGCCAAAAAGCGTGGATAAAAGCAGACCAAAAAGCGAAGGCCGATCTCATATTAAGCATCAGCCCCTCCGAATTAAAGCAAATAAAAGGCGCATCACATCCAACCAAGTCTGGAGAAAATTAGAGCAAATATACGCGTCAGAAGGTCCGGCTCGCATAGCCACATTGCTTAAACGTTTAACGCAGCACAAAATGTCCATGGGCGATAATTTGAAGCAACATCTCGGCGAATTTTTTGACTCTGCACTGAGAGACCTTTTGCGGGGACAATTCTCTCCTTTTCCCACTCCCCGTCCTCTGTACTTTTACTTTCACTTATGTTAACTCTCAATTTGAGATTTCGGGATTTTTCTTTTCTTTTTGATATGTGATTCTTATCTTATTTTGATATTTCTTTGATTTTGATTATGAATTAAAAATTTCTTTTTTTCTCTTTTTAATAAAAAAAAAAAATTTTTTTTATTATTATTTTTATTATTAAGTTAGTCTAACATGCCCCGAGATAAAATATAGATTAAAATTAATAATAATGCACACACAAAGTGAAATATTTCATTGTGCCACTTGGAACGCCCGAAGCTTGATTAATAAAAAACTACAAATCGAGATAATGTTTAACCAAATGAACTTCGACCTATTATCAATAACTGAAACGTGGTTCAGCGAAAAGATTGTCAATTGGAATGCTAAGGGCTACAATTTAATCCGAAATGACCGCAAAAGGGAATCGACAGGAGGGGGCACGCTCTTGTTAATTCGGAACACATTCACCTATGAGAATCTAAAACTCACTGGATCTTGGCAGGAAAAATTTGAGGCTGTGGGAGTAAAGGTATACTCTACCCTGGGCCCAATATATATAATCTCAGTCTATATTTCCCCCACTGCAAAAATAACAGTAAATGACTTGATCGAATTAACTAACAAAATACCCGGAGAAGGACAAATGGTTTTAATGGGAGACTTTAACGCACATTTTGCTAACTTTGAGCCCTATCGGTTAAATAAAAGGGGGACGGTTTTACTTCAGTTCCAGGAGATCAGGGACTTAGTAATGGTCAATGATGGAAGGGCAACACACAGCTCTAGCCGAGAGACTACCCCTGGAGTCTTGGACCTTCAGTTCGTTTCGTCCTCCTTAGCAACGGTCTGTACTTCCCAAACGATGGAAGAGTCCTTTGGAAGCGACCATTTCCCGGTGACGCTGGCAATTCCGCTGAGGATGGATAGGTTCCGCCCTAGTTCGTATCGTCCGCGCACAGACAAAGTAGACTGGATAAAATTGCACGAACTGGTCTCACAGAGGATCATGGATCTTACCAATCAGAGTGAGGACTGTCTGATAAAATATGAAATCCTAACAACGGTGATTTTTGAAAGCCTTTTAGATTCTGGTGCTTATATCCCGAGGGACAGAAAGCCTCGCTCAATTGTGAAGCCATCTTGATGGTCCCCGGATTGCGAGGAAGCCATGGCAGAAAAGAGACAAGCAAGGAAAGCTTACCAAATCAACCCCAACCGAGAAAATTTCGAGCTGTTTCTAGAAGCTGAGGGGAAAACGAGAGAAGTATTGAGGAAACAGAAAAAAACCTCTTTTAGAGATTTATGTGCGTCAATTACCCCTAAAATGGGAATAGGTCAAGTGTGGAGTTTAATAAGGGCATTTTCCGGGAAAAAGTCCTCTCCACTGAACACATCGAATGACCCTGAGTCGCCTGAATACAAAGCTTTAAGGAACGAAATTGTAAGGGAGGATATTGTACGTCTGCCGGTAAAATACTTGAAAATTTTAACTTATGTTTTCTTTCGAATAGATTTCCGTGGCTTTCAACCCTGGTGAAATTTATTCCGAAACAAGGGGGTAAGGCCAATAGACCGATCTCTCTAACATCCTCGTTGGACAAGTTAATGGAGAGAATTGTTCATCGAAGACTGGAGCACTTCATAGAACATCGAAGACTGGTCCCAAGTTATCAGTTCGGCTTTCTAAAGAAAAGATCAGCAGTCGATTGTGTCTCGGTGTTGGTTGCTGACGTGTTGAGGGGTTTCGTGATGGGGAAGGGAACAGTGGCACTGGCCCTGGACATCAAGGGAGCTTTCAGTGTTCTTCTTCCCTCGGCTGTTCTTCAGGAGCTGAGGGATTGTGGTGCTCCGGCTAGAGTAAATAATTTCGTGGCATTCATGATCTCAAAGCGAAACCTATACTTCCACGAATTGAACTCGGAACCGTATGAATGCGGGGTGGGGTATTGTCCCCATTGTTATTTAATTTCGCCTTGAGGAAAATCGCGAGAATTCTCCCCCAGGGGGTGCGAATACTCCAGTTTGCGGATGATATTCTCCTATACGTAAGGTTTTCGGATATAAATGAGGCGCAGGCAATATTGGAGCAAGCGGTAGAGAGACTGACGCCATGTCTCTCTAGTCTGGGATTCAGTCTGACACCTAGAAAAGTCAGTTTTGTGTCTTTAGCCGTAAGAGAGAAGTCCAGTTAATAGAGGGAACATTCTGCCCAGAAGGAACATTAACCTGATAACGAGGCTAAGGACAAGTAATGTATGTGTTGGGGAACATTTTCAAAAAGTGGGTTGGAATATAGATTCACAATGCAAATGTAGGAGGGAAATCAGCTCTATAAAATACTATGTTTGGGATTGTGAACTGTTCGCGGAAAATAGGGATTCCTTCGTGCAATTTGTGAAAAGGAGGTTTCATTCGGATGAATTTTTATGTGCCCACTGGGATTTACTTTTGTTTAATCCAAATATGGAAATTGCAATGGAGGTGGGAAAATTTTTAAAGGTGGAGGGTATTATAATTTGAAAGTTTGAATAAAAGTACTTTATATGAAGGGTAGAATGACAAAAGGGGTCAAGCGCCAATTTATCGAAAATGAGGTTTTTGCATAAAAAAAATCAAGAAAATTCATTTACACATTTCTGTAGAAGGATTTCCTTTTTTATTGAGTATTTAAATCAGTTTTTAATAAAAATTAAGTTAATAAAATAGCCTCAAATTTACTTTATTGCAACCTGATTGAAAAACAAAAGAAAGTGGTGAGTCAATAATATTATGCATAACTTAACAAATTTTAAAACATTGCTTTATAATATATTTTCAATTTTAAACAATTTTAAAATCATTTTGTTATTAATTTTTAAACATTTTTATGATTATACTAAGTGAACAATTGAACTTAAAGATGAAAGTATTGCTCAATTCCAAAGCAAGCAATTAATTCGTAAATTTCTTGAAAACAAACAATTTTTTAAAGGAATTTTTTTTTCTATTCATTTCGTCGATTCCATAGAAAGAAACTAATTTTCCAGTTTTTCTTTAAACTGTATATTTTTTTTTATAATTAATGCTTAAAGAAAATGTGCGCAGTTGATATAACCTCAAGGCACCACAGTTTTTTTTAATTTTATCGTTAATATGTAGGTTTATTTCAACAAATTGTTGTTTATTTATTAACACATACTGATATATCGAAACGGTTTTCTCAGTTTTTTTTAAATGACCTGCAAAATTTTAAAAAATGTTTTTTTTACTTCCTGTAAAAACTGAATTGGCGCTTGACCCCTTTTGTCATTCTACCCTTCATATATATGAGGCAAAATTCCTGAAATGTCCGAACAAAAAATTAAAAGTTCTCGAATTTAATCCATACTTTTCTAAAATGTTGTTATTGTTGGTGAAAGTCTAAAAATCAATTATTATTAAATTTAATAAAATAGTTTTTGAATTACAACGTTTTTAATTTTTGACTTTTGAAAAAAAAAATTTTTTTCAATGTACAATATTTATAAGTAGAATGCATAAAAGTTAACACATATATAATGATTTTTAAAGCTTTTTTGACGGGCTACACGCTGTTAATAAAATTTTTTTTTTAAATAACATTTGACCTTGAAATTCAAGGTCAAAATGTTAATTTACGTTTATCTCAAAATCGGATTTTTTAAAATTATTTTTAACTATCTCAATGGAAAGCTTGACTAATTTCCTACAAAACATGTCATTTTCAGAGTGGGATCTTTTAAAGTTTTTGAGATATTAATTAATTAATTAATTAATGTTTATAACAAATGAAATATTTTACAAACGAATAAAGTTACCGTAATTCTGAAGTTAGTAATTGAGAGTTAACGTAATTGCGCATCCAACGAGCCCTATATGAAATATTTTGGATAAGTAGATTGTTAATAAACAATTAGTTAACATTGCAATTGTTTATTAACAATCTACTTATCCAAAATACTTCATATAGGGCTCGTTGGATGCGGAATTACGTTAACTCTCAATTACTAACTTCAGAATTACGGTAACTTTATTCGTTTGTAAAATATTTCATTTGTTATAAACATTAATTAATTAATTAATTAATTAATATCTCAAAAACTTTAAAAGATCCCACTCTGAAAATGACATGTTTTGTAGGAAATTAGTCAAGCTTTCCATTGAGATAGTTAAAAATAATTTTAAAAAATCCGATTTTGAGATAAACGTAAATTAACATTTTGACCTTGAATTTCAAGGTCAAATGTTATTTAAAAAAAAAATTTTATTAACAGCGTGTAGCCCGTCAAAAAAGCTTTAAAAATCATTATATATGTGTTAACTTTTATGCATTCTACTTATAAATATTGTACATTGAAAAAAAATTTTTTTTTCAAAAGTCAAAAATTAAAAACGTTGTAATTCAAAAACTATTTTATTAAATTCAATAATAATTGATTTTTAGACTTTTACCAACAATAACAACATTTTAGAAAAGTATGGATTAAATTCGAGAACTTTTAATTTTTTGTTCGGACATTTCAGGAATTTTGCCTCATATGTAAATACGAAATAATGTTAACCAACTGTAAATATGTTGCTTCAATCATGGTATGGTCACAATTGGCTACAAATAGTAATAAAATAAAATAATGATACGAAAAGGGAGAAAGGGAAAACTTAATTTTTAGGAATTATTGGAAATAAATAAAAATTAACTATAAAATCATAAAATAGTAAAATATAAATTACAAAGTACAATATGCTTATGGGAGGGAAGGGCGCGGGAACTAGGGAAGACGTCCCTGACTTAACCCAACCTTACCCTCCTCACAATTCCCTGTCTCCACACTGTGCATGAATTGAGCTTTAACTGCACGAGAGCACGAGACAGCCTGCAAAGATATAGTTAAGACACTGCTTGGAATTTGGAATTGTCAGAAACAAAATAATACATAGACAATAAGTAATATATACGAATATTACAGTATCTAGGATTGGCCTGATTCGTCGAAGCCACAAAAAAGAAGAAGAAGAAGACAATAGAACAAACAAACAACGCCACACCTGTGAATTTTGCGGGAGAAAAGGACTTAAAGAGTCCGAGTGTAGCCACAAAAACCGACAAGAAAATCAATCGGCAAATAATGTGGAATCCGCACAGTGTTTTTTCTCCGAAAATAAAGTGCAGTGTAGCCCCTATAGTGATCTCTGGTGTATCGACAGTGGTTGTAGTACTCATTTATGCAAGGATAGAAGTGCATTCAGTGAAATAACGGATACGAAAAACCATCGTGAAACACACGAATAGTACGACGACCCCAGTTGTAGCAGAAGGTAACGTAAAACTTATAGTGGATAAATCGAACACTGCGACATTAAAAAATACCCTATATGCGCCAGATCTTTGAACAAACTTGATGTCGGTTGCTAAAATAGTGGACAATAATTGTCAAGTGGTTTTCACGAAGAAACGCGTCACAGTCACGGACCTAAACGGCAAAATAAAATTGACAGCGGACCGGATCGGAGACCTTTTCTACATCAAGAACTCGGAAGAATCACACCTCGCATGCACGACAGATCACACCAGGAGCGATATACACTCAATAACATATATATGCTTTTCTTCCAGTTTGGACTCTTTTTGAAAAGTGGTGGAGCCTTCTATATGAATGTTATTAGTCTATGACATATGATGGAATCAACATTACCATGTGGTTGACAGCTAACCTGTAAATGTGGTAAGTTTATTGTTTTAATAAAAATTAACTATAATAATTTCCGTATTCATTCATTCATTCCGTCTGTCCACACTTGAAGTTAGTCGTATTTTGTTCCTTTTGTTTTTCTAAAATTTTGACAATTCTTGATTTCGTAATATTTTATGGTTAACACGACGGATAGTTTTATTCATCGTCATTAATTAAGTCATATACTAAGTGACAGTTTAAAGTAAAAAAAAATATTGTTCATTGTGTGCAGCACCAGTATATTTCCTACTTGGTATTTATAGAAAAAAAGTTTCAATTATAATATAATTTTTATTATTATTTATAAATTTATTATATTATATATACATTTTTTTAAATATAATGATTATTACAGATAATTAGAACATTTTAACTTATAATTATTATTTATCTTTCATTATTTTTTCATTATTCATTATTATTTATTATATATTATTATTCATAAATTTATTATTATTAATTATTAAATTGTTATATTTTTTTATCTATAAACAATATAAAAATAGTTTGCTTTTTTAAAAAATTTTCTATTTGATTTTAATTTTTAATTTAAGTTTAAAGTTTAAAACATTACAAATTTTTTTTAGGTTTTATTTTTTCAAAATTTTTAAATATTTTTTAATTGCTTAATACTTTTTAAAATATAATTAATAATTTTCAGTTAATTTAAACTTCTTTTTGATTACATAATTTTTTAATATTTATTAATTATCAGTTAATTAAATTTTTTGAAAAAAAACATAAATTTAAAATTTTCATTTGCAACGAAATATTTATAGAAAATACAAAAAAATATTTAGCATAATTAATTTTTTGTAATTTAAAAGATTATAAAAAATTCATCGAACATTGACTTTATCAAAAATATTTATTTCTAAAATTTTAATATTTATATTTTAAAATTTTTACTTAAATTTATTTATTTATATAACATCAAACTCATTTTTTTCTGTGTATAAATAAATGATAACGTGAAAATTAGAAATATACCTATTATTAATTTAATACTCCACTGATGCAGAATTATTATTATTATTATTATTAATATTATTATTTTAAAATAACCATTGCAATTAAAGTTGGACGCGCGCTTGCGCGCGTGTAATTTTGCTAGTATTAATATTAATAATAAATATAATAATAATAATTATTTTTTTTTAATTTGAATATTTTTATTTATTTATTTAGAGAAAGTAGATCATTTTTTAAATTTAAAAGCAATTTATTTTCTAACGTCAAAAATTGTAAGAAAATTATCTAATTTAATAATTTTTTGTTATTTAAAAATTTGAATTATAAATTTTTTTTATTTTCAACTTCTATTCAATTAGACTTTTTGTCGCATTTGAAAATAAATATTTTGAAAAAAGTTTTTAATTCCTTATTAATTAAGTTTAAATTGAAATTAAAAAAAAATTATTTTTTATAAAAAAATGTTACATTAACAAATTTGCAACTTCTAAAAATAATTTAATTTCTTTTTTTAAAGCATCCACTTTGTATAAATGTAATATTTTTTCATTCTTATTGTGATTAAAAAAACTTCTGGATTGACTACAATAAAAAATATTTTTGTTATTTATAAATAATAATTCTTATAAATTTTTTTTCTTTTTTCAAAATAATGACAAAATTCCTTTATATTCCTAATTAATTTCAATTTTAGGTTTCTTTTGTTAGTAGGATTCTTCAAAAAGTTTTAAGCAACTTATATTCAATTAGACTCTTAATGTCACTTCATTCGATGTGCTCTTTCATTTTAGCCTTGCCCTCTCGATAATTAGTATTTAACAAGGTTGTTCACTTCAATATTTTTAATTAATTTATTATTAAATTACTTTTGACAATATCGTTTTAAAAAAGAGAGAGAGAGAAAGTTACGAGGGTCAAATGCGTCACATACATGATATTCAGGATTATGGACAAAGTCACCTAACATCACTACGTGATCAATATTACAGAACAGGTAAGTTTCAATTTCAAAATGATTTCTATTAAAATAATTTAATTTGAATTGAATTAACAAATTGATAAATAAAAATCCTAGTAACGAATTCTAAAAAAATTGGCAAAAGTAAAACGATATTTATTATTATTCGCAGGTTAACCTTACGTATGACGTATGTATTTTGACAATTGTAGAAGTGGTTCTTGTGGCAAAAGTGAATCAGCAGTAATTGATCCAAAAAATATTAATTCCGCTGATCTGGACATTTATTTTAAAGCAAAACTTCAAGATATTATATACAATTATATAAATATTATACATTAACAGAATTATCATCAAGTCCACGAGGACAATTTTTCTTAGAAGATATTCACATTAATTGTATTAAATATTTATTATTTATTTATATACAAAACTAAATTGAATGTGAAGAATTTCTTCAATTATAAAATGTCGATAATGTAAACTATCTGGCATCTAATTAAATGGCCTTTAATTCGCGAAATACTTTTTAACAATAATTTGTTTTATTATTGTGAAAAAAAATTTGTTGAGAAGAAATTTAAAAAAAACATGGCACATCGAATAAAATAAAACGTTATTTCTTGATCCTCGCAATTACGAAGAGTCCTACACTTATGTTTCCTTGGTTATATATATTTCTTCTATAATGTCTTCTTTTTCAATTTTAATCATTTTAATTATTGATTTTGTTTAATTTGAAATCTATCGATTCGTGTAAATTTTTTTAAATTTGTATCATTTTAATTAAGATTTGTATTTTTTTTGAATTTTAATTTTTAAAAATTTGAATTTTTTCATTATTTGCCTCGCAAATCTACAGCGTGTAGTGTCAAAGCTTTTCAAGGTTTATGTGATGTTTGTGTTGTAACCACATTTTTTTTCTTACTCTGGGCCACATTGAATATATAAATATACCTATATCATTGAGAGCAATTATTCAAACGCGACTATTTAATAATAATAATAATAAAAAAATCTTCGTATCCTAAGCATAATGTCGTAACTTAAAAAACAATTATTTTTATAAAATGTAGTCAATTTTCGTAGATATTTGCAAATTTATTCATGTTTACAAAAAAAAGAAAAAATAAACCAAGAAAAATTAGGAAATAACCGGGAATTTTATTGAACGAAAGTAGCAGTCATCCTGAATAGTAATAACAATAATAATAATCCAATATCTATATATTAACTTATTTCATAATGTTCCAAGAAAGTTACAATTTTTTTCTAATTTTGCAACTTAACAAGCATAATATAATAGCATAAAGGTTTAATATGAATTTAATATTTAAACGATTGTTTAAATAAATAATATTTTTATTTATTATTTTTTTTGTAGTGCACCTAAAAAAGTTTGAATAAATTCAAGTCTTTTTTAAAAATAGAACAAAAAAAATATTTGAATCATCCCAGTTATCTCCCTGCATACATTGATAAAACTTATAAATAATCAAGAAGAATTTTTTTTAGATTTGTTTTCACATTTTTTGAAAGTTCTTAAGATTTGTTCATTAATTTAAAATCGCTATTCAATTTAGGCATAACTTTAGAAGATATGACAATGTCAATGTGGTCTGAACAACCATGGGTGGGTATCTGGTCAGTCGAAGGATGAAAATATGGCACCGCATTGTTTGCCATAAATTTTTCTTTTTTTGATTTTCGACTACTTTATTGAATTATAAACAGATTTCGAACGAATTTTTTTTTATAATTAGACCATTTTTCAATATTCCGCTAGGAATTTGAAAGAAATGATAATTATTATAATTTTAATATTAATTATAATTAATTAATATTTAAATTATTTTTATGAAGCAAGGGGGGCAATTTAAAAAAAGGCAATTAAAATGGTTAGTTATCATTTCAACATTTATTATATTCTTTATAATTTATAATTAATTTACACTGAATCTGGTAACATATATTTATAAACACATTATTTTAATTTGAAATATTAATAAAGGGAATGTATCCACGAGTGGCCCTCCTTTCAAATTTTTATAAAACCAAATGTAAAATATTAAATTGTTCTGTATCCAAAAATGATACTACATTCACATCACTGTGGTAAATTTGACATTTTGCGTTTACAAATTTTCAAAATGTCATTAAAAGTATTAAAAAAGAAATCTGCCGAAAAAAAGGGAATTGAAAATGAATCATTGGTAACATATCCAAGTAAATTAAATAGAAAATAAGGTATTTCATTTGCAACATTTCTAACACTAAAATTAATTAAAATGCACTAATAATTTTGTTTGTTTGAATATTCTAAGTATTCATAAGAAATAAATATTCTGTAAGCATTGAAATTCTTCAATGTTTATTTGATTTTTAATTATTATTAAGCGATTTCAGCAAGTGGTTCACTCATGGATATAAATTTTTTTTCTCAAAAAAACATCAATTCTGAAAATTAATGTAAAATTTTTTTTTTTGCATTTGGGAAAAATCTCATTATATATATATATATATATATATATTTAGACAAAGAAATTTAAAAACTATAATACACCGTTGCGTTGGATAGGTATTATTATTTTAATACCTATCCAACGCAACAGTGTATTATAGTTTTTAAATTTCTTTGTCTAAAAAAAATATTTGAGTAAATAAAAAGGTGGTCCACTTATGGACACATTTCCCTAATAGACATTTAAAAACTTTTGGAAAAAATGTGCTTTTAAAAAATGTTTTAGAAAAAAAATTTAAATTTTTCATATCAGTGTGACTTAAATGCTTTTGTCTTGTTTCTAAAAATTTCTAATCTAAATTTCATTATCATAAAAAAGACTGACTCTTCTTTTATTTTTTCTAAAATCACCTTTGGATTGGTTGGACAACAATTCGGAAAGATTGAATGCTACAAATGATATCAAAATTAATTCACATGGAGAAAGATTGTCTGACTGAATACTCAAAAGGTATTCAATCTTATGTATGTATTTCAATAAAACATTTTTGATCGAGCTTTTTGACTTAATCATTTCAACAACCGTGATGGGCCATATAGAAATTAGACTGTTCAAACCTCGGATTATACGGCTTTTTCGACTTTTACCGACTTTTCTCTACTTATTTTAATAAAATGCGACTTTTTAGACTTTTTTTAAATTTTAAACAAAATATATATTTTTTAGTATACAATGCAGATCTTCTTCAGATCTTCTTTAATTCAGTTATTAACTCAATTTTTAATTACAATTCTTCACTAAATTCATTATTTTTAATAATTGTTCTTCATAAATTCAATTATCTTAAAGTATTTTTCAATTAAAATTTTTATGAAATTTATTAATTGTTTATTATTAAAAAAAAAATAGTAAATAAAATTACCAAAAATTTTTAATTCAAAATCACTTGAAATTTAATAATTTGCAAAAATGTCAATTATTTTTATTTTTTTAAATTGATTTTTATTAATATTCTTTCAAAATTCAACTATCTGAAACAATTTTTCGTTTATAAATTTTTGAAATTAAAAATTACTTGAAGTTTAATTAATTTCAAAAATCTAAATTGTAAATCTTTGAAAATTTAAATATTTTTATAAAATGTTATGTAAAATCATTTGATAATTTATTTTTATTTCTGTAAAATTTAATCATTGTTTGAAAATTAACAAAATCTTTTCAAATTCAATTATTTCTAACAAATTTCAACTTTAAATTTTCTAAAATTATTATTTAAAAATAATTTTTATTTTAAAAATCTGGAAAAGTTGATTAAGTATTACCTGGGATTTTTTTAAATAGTTAAATAAGAAAATTCAATTCAATGAAAATTCTACTTTTATAAAATTCGGTAAAATAAAATTTGAGTTTATTAATTTTGAAACCGTATGAAAATTTCAAACAAATTCATTGTGGGGAATATTCATGAGTTTCATTTTTTTTTTTACTATTTTTTACTTTTTTTATTGTTTTCTTTTACTATTTCTTTACTACTTATTTAACTATATTTTTTACTATTTTTTAATCTTACTAAATATAGATTTTTTGTCATTAGGTGATAATATATGGACAGCATCAACAAGTAGCTTAAACCAAAGTAACACAGTTGCACGATATCAAGAGACAAATTGGAAATTTAAAGAAAAATCATCGTCAAATACAGTTGAGAAATTTAACGATATCTGAACATTTAATCAACATCAACATTCCTATCCATATCGTTTTTTGAATCATATGTATCAAGTTGAAATATCAATTCTTTGTTTATTGAGAAAAAATGCATTCACAAATTCCACAGAGTCAGCAATATTCAAAAATTCCAAATCGAAAATTAATGAATTGGTTGAAACAGTAGGAAATGAAATTAGTAATAAAAACGTTGATTTCAATAGTGTACGAAAGGAAATAATGGATCAATTAATCGAAAAAGAGGAACGTAAGGATGGAGAAAAAACACAAAATTTGATAAATTTTTTTTACAGTTATTAATTATTTTTCTCGAGTTTACATGACATTTTTTGTGTACGAAAATTTTTCTTGGTTTGAGATTTAATGAAAAAAATGGATCACAAAATATTTCAATGAATTCGAAAAATAATTTTCTGTACTTCAAACCACTTGAATTAATAATTAGATTTTACAAAACAAGCACAATTTTTTTTTTATTTATGCACTTTTTTCTATTTTTATTCTCGAATTAGATAGAGATATCGATTATTTTGATATTTTCAACAACGGTAGTCTCACACTCGTTAAAGAATTGATATTGGTAAAAAAATTTAAAGTAAAATTTGAATAGGAAACAATTTATCTTTTAAAATTCTGTCGATTAAATGCTTTGGAAAATAAATATTTTACGTTTAGACATTTATTTTTGGATACTAATAATTTGTATCAATTTTCACGTGGCGATACAAGAAAAATAATTTTCTATTTGTTGACAATACCCGAGGAAAATGGAATGAGAATTGAAAAATTTTCCAATGACAATTTAAAAGAAATGGTTTTTGCATAAAATTGTTTTTGCTATACGGCAATATAATTCCGAGAAATTTTCCAATGTACTTCAAAAAGAAATTGATGAGAAACAATTACCGTATGATTTTAATAAATTAAATAAAATTGCATTGCGTTATTTAAAATCACATGAGAATGTTCCAATGTAAAAGTAGAAAATGAGAAATAATTGTGAAATAAAAAATAAATAATAAACAATTGTGAAATAATAATATAAATTTTTTTAACATGTAAATATAATTTTAACTTAAAAAAATTGTATTGAAATTTTTTTCAACTATTTAAAATATTAATGATAAATGTTTACGAAAAAGCTAAATTAAAATTTTTCATATCATTATGACTTAAATATGAAATCATTTCATAAATGCATACAACTACATTTAGCACATGCTTTTGAAAATTTTGTAATGTTGTGGAAATAGTTTTTGTCAACTCTTTCGCGTTGGCAAATTTTTTTCCAATCAGGAAATCAAATATTTTCAGATTGTCAAGTTTACGATCAAAATACCTTTGGAATTCATCATGTTGCAAAACTTTTGCAATGTCGTTTTCATGAAGTTTCCAAAGTATCTTGATCATCATGTAATTTTCCTCAAGAATTTTCCTAATTCCAAAAATTTCTAGTCTGAATGTCATCATTTTGAAAAAAGCTGACTCTTCTTTAAATTTCTCTAGAATATCGTTTGATTCTTTGGAAAACAATTCTGAATGATTAAAAAATACAAATGCAATTGAAAGGAAGTCACATACTGAAACATCATCATCTTGAATAATTAAAAAATATTCAATTATTTGAATGTAATTTAATAAACTATTTTATGATAAACTTCTGGAGTCACTTATTTCAACAAATTGTAATATTTATTTTCATAATTTTGTATTAAAGAATTATTATTAATATTTTCCACATCATTTTCCAAAGCAAATTGATGATTCTCCTCAGTGCTTCGTTGTTAGCAAAATCTACTGAAATGATACTCATATTCCTGCGAAATAATAATAATTTTTATTATATGCAATTTTTAGTTAACTTTTTTAAAATAATTAATTATTTAAAATCTTTTGAAAAAATTCGATCAGTATGTCAAATAAGAAAAATGACTTTTTATCATTAAAACTGAAAAATTTAATAGTAATATCGTTTAAAAAAATTTTTCAATATTTTTGAAAAGTACGTTTAAAAACACACAATTTGAGAAAAATACTTTTAACATTGATGCATTTTTATGGAAGTTATGAGCATTAAAAAATAAAAAGTCAGGAAAATTCTCCAATTTTGAAAATTCTAAAACTCGAAAATGGCTTCCTAAAAAAAATTAAAAAATTTATGGAAGTTATAGTCTCAATTAGTTCTAAAAAATACAAATTTTTAAATCGGAGATGCAATTGTAAATGTATCACTAATATAATATTTATTAATTAAATATCTATAAATGTAATTTAATTAATAATTAATAAATATTATAATTATAATAATAATAATAATAATAATAGATATAATATTTAAAAAAAAAATATTGCAATAAGTTTTTTTAATATCAGGGCAAAAGCCAAAATTTTATCTGAAAATCATGGAAAAAATTTTTTTCTTAAAGTCGAGTTTGATAAAAAAAGTAAATTTTTTGGATGAGAAGTGGAAAAAAGGCAGAAAAATAAAATAAAAAGTCAGGAAAATTCTTCAATTTTGAAAATTCCATAACTCAAAAACTAGAAAACTCTGAAAATCAGGGGAAATTTTTTTTAAAGTCGAGCATGATAAGAAAAAATAAATTTTTTGAATAAAAAGTGGGATAAAGGCAGAGAAATAAAATGAAGAATCAAATTTTTGTGAATTGTGTAATTAGAATTTTTTTTAGTTGTCAGAATAGAAATAAATGTAATAAATATAAATACTTACGAAGAGAATCAAATGACTTTGTACTGCGAGCAAACTTCACTAAAAGTTTTTAATGAATTGATTCTAATTGTTTTAATTTTTAATTAATTTTATAGCTCCTTCCTCTTTTCTTGTAGCTGTGACAACTAACTTTTTTTTGGTTTTTATGATTACTTTCGGGGTCTTCATGTTTGGGACAACTATACATGTGCAAGAACATGAATGTGTTCATGTACAAGTACTTATACATGAAATTGTACAAGATCATGTACATTTTCTTGTACAAGATGTTGCACCAGATCTTGTACAAGATCTCACACATGAACTTGTTCCAAATTCGTATGCATTTTCCTGTACAGGAACTGGTCAGAACTTGTACAAGTTCAGTTGCTGATCCTGTACAGGAAATTGTACAAGATCTTATACAGGGATTTTCAGTAGGGGAAAAAGGACGTTTAAAAACAAAACCAATCTCATAGTTGATATTCATTTCTTACATAAATTTTTGTCAAAAATAAAATTTTAATTTTGGTTTTACATGTAGTAACAATACTTTTTTTTAATACAGCTGCCAGATTAAAAAAGGGCACATAACTGATTTGAATTACATTAATTATGTGCCTTTCTTTGATTCGGCAGCTCAATTCTTTCTGATCCAAGATTTAAATTCATATCTCCCGCTCAAACTCTACTTTATCGACATGGTGAATCCTCGACATGCACCTCCGATCTTTCACATAAAATCATGGAGTAGTATAAGGAGACCCGACGGCCATGAGAATTTGACAAGCATCGTGGACTGATTTTCGGTTTTCTAATTCACAGCGTTTGTCAAAAATGCTCAGCTAGCGCTCCTCGCGGAAAAAATAAGTACTGCGTATATTCAAAATTTTATAACCAAATTTGTTTTATTTTACAATGTCATCATGGCAGTGTCTCTGTGCATATATTAATTTTTTTGTGAAATAGTTATTTGTCAAAAATTTGTTTTGTGTAAGTGTTAAAATGCCTCCAAGTTTGTGTTGTCGAGAATTGTTTAATGTCTGTGTTGTTGAAGGCGGGAAAGAAAATTTCTCTTTTCAAAGCAAAGGTTTTTTTTTTTTTTTCAAATTAAAAAATTGTCATGAAATTAGTACATGACAATATTATTTATAGATAAAATATTTAATTAATGTGTTAGGAAAATGCGATAGAAGCCTGGCAAAAAGTGGTGCCGACAAAAGCCGATAAAGTTTTGACCAGGACTCATAATATTTGTGAGCTTCATTTTCATGCAAATGACATTGAAAGAAGTTACAAAACAATAATAAACGGTCAAGTTCACGAAATACCGAGAGGTAAAGCAACTTTAAAGGAAGGAGTTGTGCCTTCAATTTTTCCATACAATCCAAACGAATTAATTGTTTATTCGGAGATTTTTAAAAAAAGGCAGGTGATTAAGCTACCTTCTAAAAGATGGTCGATAGTTCGCACACCCGAATTCATTGTATGGATGAATTGGATAAATGACAATGCTCATTCTGATAGACGAATTATATTGTACCCAGACATGACAATAAAGGTATGTAATCGCTTAATATTTTTTGTCAAAAATGAGAAGCCTTTTATCCTGAATATTTTTAATACAAAAAATTCTCTTCATGTTAATAATAGAAATTATGGGGCTTCCGTTTCCGGTTACGGTTTAATACGGACGTTTCTGTGTTTCTTGGTCTTTTGACAAAGTTTTTTCCGGTATTTTTTGAGGGCAGGGTAGTATAAATCGGTGAATTGTGTAGTGAGTGGTTTTGTGTGTATGAGAGTGATAAAAAAGTCGTGTGAAGTGTAATAGTGTGGCTGTAAAAAGTGAGTAAAGGTGTGTGAGGTTTTGGAAGGTTAGGTTGGGAGCGTGGAGAGTGAGAGAGTGAGTGACAGAGGTAGAGAGAGTAAGGAGTCTAGAGTGAAGGCGGGTTCTCATGGCGCTAGTAGAGAGGTCGCCGATAAAAGGCGCTAGACGGCAGGAGAATGCTGGTGACAGAGGGCACGAGAATACTGGTAGTCAGGGGGAAATAAGTCAGTGGGAGAAGTGGGAGGAAGGGACGGAGACAGGTAGCGTGCGAAGTGAGACGGAACATCCAGGGACGGACAGTGAAAAAGAAGAGGAGGTTTTTAGTACCCCTAAGGTTTTGAGAAAGTTGTCAACGTCTTCATTGCCGGACTACGCGTTATTTAGTGCTAGGAAAAGAGGCAGACCGAAGGGATTGGCAAGTTTTGCTAAGATAACAAGGAAAGATGTAGGGCTGTGGCAAAAGCAGGTGAGGGATAGAAGGAAGGCTAGGGGGGAAAATGATCAGGACGAGGAGGGTAATGAGGGGGAGAATAACGAGAGAGAGGAAGAGTTGAAAGATTATAGTGATGTAATGGCAGGAATGGGGGAGATGGCGAGAGCAGTGATGAAAATGAGTGAGGAGACTAATAAGAAAATAGAAGATTTGGGGAAGGAAATTAAAGTGGCAAGGGAAGAAAGCGAAAGGAAAGAGGAGAAGAGGGATGAAAAAATGGATATGATTAGAGGAGAGGTGAGGGAGATAAGAGATATGTGGGCAAATTGGGAAGAAAGATGGAGAGGAGAGAAAGAAGATTTAATGGAAAAAGTAGTGATGGTTGAAATCACACTGGAGAGAGTAGAGAGAAAGAGAAGTGCGGAGATGTCGATGCTGGAGAAGAGAGTTGGGCAATTGGAGATAAGAGAAGAGGCAACTGGGAGTAGACAGGGGACAGAAGAGGGTCAAACGGGGGAGTTGGAGAGGAAAGTGGCAGACCTGTCCAGATTAGTAGAGCGGTTGGAAAAGGAAAAAAGGAAATGTTGGATTACAATTAGAGGTTTAAAGGTGGGGAGGGAAGAAGGGAAGGAAAAAGTTAAGGAGCTTATGGTGGAAATAGGGGCAAAAGTGAACATTAAGGGAGTGAAAGGGGTGGGAGGAGAAAGTAGGGAGTTGCCGAAGATTTGGTTAGTAGAATTAGGTAGTGAAGAGGAAAGAAGGGAGGTAATGGAGTTGAAAAAGAAGTTGAGAGGAAGGGAGGAAAGGATAGAGGAGGACAAAACCTGGACAGAGAGAAGAAGGGATTGGTGGTTGAGGGAGAAAGCATGGGAGGAAAGAAGGAAAGGGAAAAGAGTGACTATGGGAAGAGACTGTTTGTGGATAGATGGAGTTCAATGGAGGGCTGAAAGTGGAATAGGGGGAGAAGATGCAGAGGGGGGGAGAAGGGGGTTTGGGGGCGAAAGAATGGAACAAAAGAAGGATCACAGGGAATAAGGGTGGCTTTTTGGAATATAGGGGGCTGGAAAAATAAGGATGAGGGTTTCTGGAAGACATTGGGAAAATGGGAGGTTGTCTGCTTGTTGGAGACATGGATGGAACAAAAAGAGTGGGGGAAAGTGAAAGGAAAATTACCAAAGGGTTATCGATGGAGAATACAGGGGGCAAGAAAAGAGGTGGCAAGGGGGAGAAGTGCAGGAGGAATAATTACTGGAGTCAAAAGGGGATTAAGGGAGGGGAAGAAAGTGAAATATATGGAAAAGGACGGGTGTATGGTAAGGACTATTAGGTTGGGACGGGAGGAATTGGACATTGTAGGATTGTATAGAAGAAGAGGAGAAGAAGGAGGATGGAGCGTGCTGGAGGAGTGGATGGATAGGGGCAAGGAAAGGTTGGTTCTCATAGGGGGGGATTTAAATGCTTGGACTGGAATGTTGGGAGGAGGGCAATGGAACGAGGAGACAAATAAATATGAAAGAGAGTCCAAGCATAAAGAAGTAGATGGGGAGGGTTGTAAGTTGTTAGAAATTTTAGAAGGAGAAGGATGGTCAATCTGTAACGGCAACATAAAAGGGGATGAGGAAGGAGAGTTCACATTCATGGGAAGGGGGGATACTGTTATAGACTATATTTTGGCTGAGGAAAAAGTGAGAAGGAGGCTGATTTCGATGAGGGTTGGCAAGGAATTAGGATCGGAACACTTTCCGGTAATAGCACAGTTTAAAGGGAGGGTTGAAATGAGAGAAGAGGCGGAGAAAGAAAGGAAAGATAAGAAGGAAAAAATGGGAATGTGGACGGATGATAAGTTGCGAGAATTTGAGAGAAGAGTACAGGAGGAGTGGACAGGAGCAAGGGAAGAGGACGGGGTGGATGAAAGAGTGGAAAGGATGGTTGGTTTCCTAGGAAAAGTCAAGGATAAGATGTCACAAGAAGGAGGAAAGGATAGAGCAAAGAGGGGATGGTGGGATAATGAATGTGAAAGTAGTAAGGAGGAAATGAGGGTTAGTATCAAAATGTGGAGGAAAGGTTGCATAAACAGAAGGGAATATAAGAGACGTCAAAAAGTACATGAGAAAGTGCTGGAGCGGAAAAAAGAAGAGGAAAAGAAAAGATTTATGGAAGAGGTGGAGAGGGCGGTGAGGGAGGGGAGGGAATGGGAAATTATAAATAAAGAGAGAAGCAGAAAAGGTGGGGTAGATAGAAGCATAGGAATGAGGGAATGGACCAGATATTTTAAGGAACTTAGCGGGGGGGTAGATGGAAGAGTCGTGGGGGAAAAAAGAGTACTGATAGAAGAAGAAGGGATTGGAGGAGTAAGTGAGGAGGAGGTAGACAGAGCAATTGAAAGGCTGAAAAGAAATAAGGCAGCTGGTTTAGATGGCATGGAAGCGGAATGTTTAAAGTATGGGGGTGGGGTAATTAGGAAGGAGATGTGGGGGATTATTAACAAAGTGTGGAAGGGGGAAGGGTGGCCAGAGGGATGGAAAACGGGAGTGATTGTGCCGCTGGTTAAAAAAGGGGAAGGTAAAAGAGTGGAAGAGTATAGAGGAATAACGTTAATGCCGGTGGGGTATAAGGTGTACGCGGAGATTTTGAGGCGAAGGGTGGAGGAGTGTGTGGACAGAGGGGGTGGAATTCCACAAAACCAGGCGGGGTTTAGAAGGGGGATGGGTACTTTGGACCACATTTACTCCTTAAATTATTTAGTGGGGAAAAGGTTGGGGCAGAAGAGGGGGAAGCTGGTGACGTTGTTTGTCGACTTTAAGGCGGCGTTTCCGTCAGTTAACAGGGGAGTGTTATGGAAATCATTGAAGGAAAGAGGGATAGACAGGGGTCTCATTGAGCGGATTAAAGAGATTTACGAGGACGCGAGGACAAGGGTTAGGGTGGGGGATAGATTCGGGGACATTTTTTGGATGGGAAGAGGGTTAATGCAAGGCTGCCCGTTGAGTCCATTGCTTTTTAGTTTACTGATGGCAGACCTGGAAGAGAAGCTAAGGGGAAGAGGTAAAGGAGGAGTGGTACTGGGAAAAAGTAGGATTTACTCGTTAGCATATGCGGATGATATTGTGTTGCTGGCAGAGTGTGAGAGTGGGATGAGACTGATGATGAGAGAGTTTGAAAAGTATGTGTCGGGTAAGGATCTGTGGGTGAATGTAGAGAAAACGAAGGTTTTAAGATTTAGGAATAGGAAAGGAGGTAAGGAAGAAGTATGGAAGTTGAATGGAAAGAGTGTGGAAGAGGTGGATGAGTTTTGTTATTTGGGTTATTGGTTTAAATCGAATGGGAGTCAGGAATTGCATGTGAGTAGAAGGTTGGAAAAAGCGGGTAAGATTTTGGGGCAGGTATGGGGAATTGGAAAAAGGAGGTTTAAGAATGACTGGAGAAGAAGAATGTGGTTGTTTGATGTGCTGGTGTGGTCGGTAATATGTTACGGTGTGGAAATTTGGGGATGGAAGGAAAGAAAGAAAGTGGAGAGCATGAGTGAAAGGTATATGAGATGGACGATGGGAGTGAGTAGAAGTTGTCCGGGTTACATGCTTAGGGAGGAGCTGGGTAGGGAAAAAATGTTGGTAAGGCAAAGGAGGAGGGCGTGGGGTTTTGAGGAGAAGTTAAGGCAGGGAAGGGGGAATCAGTGGACTCAACGATGCAGAGAAATGGTAGTGGAAAGGGAGGAAAGGGGGGAAAAAGAAATGTCAAAATGGGAGGTCGAGAGAGGAATGGTTTTAAAGGAGGCGAGAAAGGAAGGTAGGGGTTGGTATGGCTTGTAGGAAAATTGGAAAGAGATGGATAAGGTAGAAAGATGGCAAAGGATATTAAGGTCGAGGTACAACATATGGTACAAGATGGTGAAGAGGGTTGGGGTGCCAAAATACCTAGATGGTAAGGGAAAGGAGTCAAAGTGGAGTAGGATGGTTAGATTCAGAATGGGTGAGGGAGTGAATGCGTGTAGATATTGGTTAAGGAATGAGGAGAAAATGTGCAGGGTATGTGGGTACGAGGTGGAAGATTGGGGACATGTGCTGGAAAGGTGTGGAAGAGGAATGAATGTGTGGAAGGATGATTGGGGAATGGATAATTGGTTGGATTTTGGATGAAAGCGGACAAGGTGTGACATGGATGGAAGATTTGGATGAGAGAAGGAAGATTGCACAGGGAAATTAGATATGGGGTGGGCGTTTAAAAAAAAAGTAGATCTAGTTTTATTTGTAAGGGGAATTCCCGAGAAAGCCAAAATGGGCTAAAAAAAACAGGAAACGGAAGCCCAGGCAACTGAAAGAGAGAGAGAGAATTTTTGCGTTCTTGCGATAGTGTTAAGTTTTTTGTATTAGTTTTAAGTTTAGTGTAATTAGATTTAAGAACAATGTATTTGGATCCTCGAACCCTGCTATGCAGGGAGAGTAAATAAATATATATAATAGAAATTATGTACTATATTAAATTTTATTTTTATTATTTTTATTATTACTCAGGTATGTATTTAATAAATTTATTAATAATTAAGGTGTTTATTTTTGGAAATGAGGTAAAAGAAAGCATTATGTATGTAAAAACTATTGGTGATTTAAATGTACTTTTTGAAGAAGTAGAGAAGCGTTTTCCTTGTGGCAGTTTTGGTTCCTACAGGTATACTACAAAATTAATTATAAAAATTATGTTACATAAATATAATTTTTTTATAATTATTAAATTATTTTATTTTACTCGCAGATCTGATGATTGTATAGGTTGTATAAGGCAAAAAGAGAAACATGAAAGAGGATTTATAATAGGTTAATTCTTTCTTTCTCACTGGACACATATATTTCACTTATAATTATACACGAAATATTTTAAATATTTTATATAATTACACAGCCCCACAAAAAAAAAAATGTCTTGATCTGGGGTCGAGACATATATATTCCTATGCATTTTGGTGCGCTGAATCCGAATCCGCCATCAGAATTTGGCCAATGGGTCCTGGTTTTGCCCTAACCTCAAAAAATACCAAAAAACAATCATATAGATTCTAAATGATCAAATTATGCAATAAATAGCGCAAAAAATTAGGTATGCTCATGAAAGTTACTACTCAGGTCTTTTTATGGTTGCTGATTACGGACCCGATGTCAAATTTCAAAAATTCAAAATGGCGGATCCAATATGGATGACACATTTTCAAAAATTTGTTCAGATTCGCTTGAAAATTGTTACTCAGGGGTTTTCGGGGTCGCTGATTACGAATCCGATGTCAGTTTTTAAAAATTCAAAATGGCGGATCCAATATAGCGGACACTTTTTTAAAAATGTGCTTAGATTCGCTTGAAAATCATTACTCGGGGGTTTTCGGGGTCGCTGATTACGAATCTGATATCCGTTTTAAAAAATTCAAAATGGCGGATCCAATATGGCATCCAAAAAAATACTAAAATTGAACCTAAGTTGTTGAAAGTTGTTACTTGGGGGTTTTCGGGGTCGCTGATTACGAATCTGATATCCGTTTATAAAAATTCGAAATGGCTGGTCTAATATGGCAGACTTTACTACTTTAACGATTTTTTTAAATTTATAACTCGCGGCTTTTTGGAACTTCTGATAATGAATAGTATATCAATTTTTATTAACTTAAAGTCTTACGAATTGTTTTTTAATGTACTCTCCAATGAGTAACCCCTTAATTTGTTCAACACATTTGAAACAATACTTTTATTAATTCCTTTACTGTTAGAACTTATTACTATATCGTGTTCTTTTTTCTTCAAACGATCTATGTAAAGGATTTCGCTTACGTTTTTTTCCTTTTCTATTCGTTTCTCTCTTCAACATCCAACAAAAGTCAGCCATCATTACTTCATCCCATCTTCCCTGATATCGTTCTTCCATCACTTTGATATCTTGATGAAATCGCTCTCCTTGTTCTTCACTGTAATGTCCACAATTTTCGGGAAACTTATCCAAATGTGAATCGAGGATGTGTAGTTTCAAACTCATTAGACATCCTAGCTTCTCAAAGTTTTTTAGCATTTGAGCTACAATTTGTTTATAATCGGGACTCTAAATAAACGCCCGAATCTGTGGACCATCGAAAACACCTTGTTTCAATTTAGCATCAGAAACAGTTGGGAATTTTTTCGCTATATACTTAAAGCATTTGCCGTCCTTATCTAACGCTTTCACGTATTGCTTAATCCCACCAAGCTTAAGGTGAAGAAATGGAAATACAATTTTCTCGGGGTCTACCAAAGTTTGGTGAATGACGTTGTGAGAACCTGGGTCGAACGATACTCTTTGAGGCCATTGTTTTTTCTTGTAATGATTAGCACGATCTCTGCTATTCCACAGACACAAGAAGCATGGCTCTCTCGTGAAACCTGATTGTTGTCCCAGTAATATTGTTATAATTTTAAAATCACCACAAATTAACCATTTGTGTTTTTCGTAATTCACTTTCTCTAGAAGTATTTTTATATTATTATATTCTTCTTTGATTTGTGTGGAATGAGCTATTGGAACAGGAGCGTAGACATTTGTATTGTGCAGTAAAACGGCTTTTATACTACGTTTGGAGGAATCGATAAAAAGTCTCCAGTCTTCATCTCTATACACATTTTCCTTTAAGTTGTCCATCAAACCTCTTACGTCAGTACAGTACACCAAAGCTGTCTCTTCATCTTTCGTAAAATATTTTCGGAACTCTTTATCTCTATCTCTATAAAATGACACTTTCGTATTCGGATGCAAAAAGTTTCTTTTCTTCATAAATGAAGCAGAAAATTCTGCACCATCTTTTGGTAAACCTAGATCTCTAATAAAATCATTTAGCTCCGGCTGCGATACTAATAGTGGCTTTTTTTCTTTAGTATAATATTCAGTGAACTCATTGTCTTCATCGTCACTGTCATTTCCACCGCTACTGTCACTACTACATTCTTCAGTTTCGTTGTCGATTTCTACTTTTTCGACATATTTTTTAAAAGTAACATCAGTTATACTCGCTTTTCGATCAATTTCAGTAGGTCTTATTACTGTTGAAACATTTATGTATGAAATGGAACTCTTATTTTTTGTGGTTATTCCTTTGATGTCATTCATACAAAAATAGCAATCTTTTAAATTTCGTGGTTTTTTCCATATCGTGGGTGTAGAGAACTTGCGATATTTTTTATCTTTCGAATTTTTTAAACGATACAACATAAGTCTGCAGGAGTTACAAACAATATGAGGAACCCAATTTGTTTCTTGGTGTAATAATTTATGACCAAAACATTCTTCGTAAAGCTCTTCCACTTCTTCATCTATTTTTTTTCGCAAAGAGCTCACTTCAAATTTGCTACAAATATAACAAAAAGAATCGGGACTTTTATCACAATCGTGTAATCGTGAAGTTTTTTTTCTTGAAGCATATGACTCTCCATCAACCAAGTTACCCATCAATGTAGAGCTACGGTTGCATGATGACGACGTCGGAGGACCCGCTTTCCCACCCTGACCAGACGCCGATACTGGGGTTCCTAATCCCTGCATCGTAAAACCTTATTTACCTGTATCTGCCATGACGGCAAGAACGCCGTTTACCCAGGGACTTTGCCAGTATGGATCCGTTGCCCACCGTCACCACGTGGAGGTGCCCTGGTTACAGATACAGGCGAAAAATGCTAACAAGGAGAGATTCTGAACCACGAGTTAGCAATAGCATACATTTAAAGATTAAATGCTGTTAAGTACTAGACATACAATAAATGCAATCAGCTTGAAATTAATAACTAGAAATATTTAAAGACCTCAAATTAAAAATTTAATGTCAGATTCGTAATCAGCGACCCCGAAAACCCCCGAGTAACAATTTTCAAGCGAATCTAAACAAATTTTTGAAAAAGTATCCGCCATATTGGATCCGCCATTTTAAATTTTGAAAAACTAAAATCGGATTCGTAATCAGAGACCGCGAAAACCTCCGAGTAACCAGTTTCAAGTGAATCTGAGCATTTTAAAGAAAAGTCGTCCGCCATATTGGATCCGCCATTTTGAATTTTTAAAAACTGACATCGGATTCGTAATCAGCGACCCTGAAAACCCCCGAGTAATGATTTTCAAGCGAATCTAAATACATTTTTAAAAAAGTGTCCGCCATATTGGATCCGCCATTTTGAATTTTTAAAAACTGACATCGGATTCGTAATCAGCGACCCCGAAAACCCCCGAGTAACAATTTTCAAGCGAATCTGAACAAATTTTAAAATTGTCCGCCATATTGGCTCCGCCATTTTGAATTTTTGAAATTTGACATCGGGTCCGTAATCACCAACCATAAAAAGACCTGAGTAGTAACTTTCATGAGCATACCTAATTTTTTGCGCTATTTATTGCATAATTTGATCATTTAGAATCTATATTTGATTGTTTTATGGTATTTTTTGAGGTTAGGGCGAAACCAGGACCCATTGGCCAAATTCTGATGGCGGATTCGGATTCAGCGCACCAAAATGCATAGGAATATATATGTCTCGACCCCAGATCAAGACATTTTTTTTTTTTTGTGGGGCTGTGTTATTTAATGCTTTTAAATAATAAACAAACCATTTTTGTTTCTAATATGTCATGAACATAACATTGTAGCAGACGACATTTATTGCCTCCTTTCTCCGCGAGGAGCGCTAGCTGAGCATTTTTGACAAACGCTGTGAATTAGAAAACCGAAAAACAGTCCACTATGAATGTATGTCGTCGGGTCTCCTTATACTACTCCATGCATAAAATGTATTTTTTTTAATACATAACCTC